GAGACGTGTCGTGATGTGGGGTGTAAGTGAAGTGTATGTTCTTGCCGTATATGTATATGGGTCGATTATCGATAGCAATCGAACTTCAGTTGCGTTGCTAGTTGCCAAAACGATATTACAGATGACAACGGGCAACTTTCAACTGACTATTGCAGTTTCTACAAAGTGTGTATAAAGGCGACTACATTTTTGTGGTTGCTGGGATAATGTTTTTGGAGCGTATTTTGGAGTAAAAGTTGAAAAGTGTGTAATATACTTTTCATTTTAATAATTTTAACGATATTAACATTTTGCAATGCAGTTTGCTTTTACAGAATATGGTGAAAATAACAAAACAAAAACTTGAAATTTTAGTTCCCGTGGAGTACGCTCTTTTGGCGAAACAAAAGCGAACACTGATTGCAACTGTTTTCCTTTATCAACTGCCTTTTAAAACTACCGACACACTAAGTTTTCCAAATTAAAGTCATTGCTGTGGCACTTCCTTCTGCGAAAAATCGAAGAGGTACGCAAGCTTTTATGAGCGCAGTATTGAAGTTGAACGAAGTGGTGCATTTGTTTATTAACCAATTATACTGAAGCTTCTTTTGGAAGTCCTCAATATGCTTTGAAAATGAGCACAAAACGATAATAAGAGAAAAACCTTAAAAACAACTTTTGCTTACAGTGCACGCGGTAGCTGTAGAGGATTGGAATTATCCTTTAAATGTCGCCTGATTGAGGCCTCGTTCATGCACTTCTCTCCCTCTTAAACAAATAGCTATTATGAATTTAGTTTTATTACTCTCTTTTTAACCGACTTCCAGAAAAGGAGGAGGTTATCAGTTCGTCGGAATATTTTTTTTTTATGTATGTTACCGCATAACTTTAGACCACGTCAACCGATTTCGATAATTCTTTTTGCAACGGAAAGGTAGTGTCTCAGAGGTGGTCTAATACTAATTTGGTTTAGATCCGATCATTGAATCATGAAATATATAGATATATATATATTTTTTTAAGTCGTTTTTTTTTGCTAAAAATTACTTGTCTTTAAAACTCTTTATTATAATAATTAAATTTTACTAGCACAGTTTGTTTACATTCTGCTTCTTGGTTGTTGTCGAACTGTCAAATTTCGATTATCGATAACTCTAAAGCAACTGACGATAGTTGCCATTCGTAGTACACATTTTTTTCCAGTTGTGTTGCCATCTGGCAACCGAACCGCGGTTGCGTTGCTATCCGTAATCGACCCAAAAATAAGATATTTATCATCGAAGCACTGCCTCGTGCACCCTACAACGCTCATCAACGCTACCAAAGCCCTGATACTTTCCAAAATAGACTATGGCCTACCGATCTACGGCCACTGTGCGAATAAAAACAATCTCATCCAACCACCATATCACGTAGCTGCTCGGAGGTGTATACGTGCATTCCCAACGTGGCCTGTCAGGTCCACCTTAACAGGACTCCCCCCAGTTAAAGAAAGGATAACGTACAGCACCTTTAAATTAAATCCAAAACTACTGCAGTGCAGAAATGCAATGTTATATGATGTGGTCATCTCGATTAGCAAAAGAACTCTATGTCTCGACCATCGTCAATTGCAAGAAGTATCAATGCAGCAAAACAAACAGGAAATGGCCACCTCCCTGGATCGAGCCTCACAAGTCGGTGATCCTCGACATGCATTCAAACAAAAAAATCATAACTGGCGCAGCAGTATACCGACAAAATTTCGAATCGATTGCAACAAATCTAAAGCAGCAAGGTTAGAAGTTTCTATAGTAGTGGACGCCGACCAAAACGCTATCTATGCTGGACACCTGCTCAATTTTTGTTCTGTTTACACAGCGGAAGCCTGCGCGGTACTTCAAACAATTCAATATGCACTCAGAACGGGGGAGAAATACATAATATGCACCGACAGCATGTCTACAGCAACAGCAATCTTCTAAATGCCTCAATTCGTAACGCATTGAAAGATGGAAGAGCAAAGCTGGCAGCTAACCAACCTCTTCTTGCATTGCAAGTATTCGTCAAAGGAGATGTAAATCGACTGGCGAAGTCAGTTACAGCTTAAACTAAATACGAAATACGAATGGGGCAAACTCCGTCATCACTACACAATTTTCAACACAGAAGGACTTAAGGCTGATTTACTTACAACTTTCTCCGCTTTGCTTGATAGTTCCTTGCTTTGACATATAAGATCGATGTAGGCATATGCATGAAAATGCTCACATAAAAAACGTTTGAAGCAAAGCAAAGCGAAGCAAAATCTTGGGCAACTCTCAACTTTTGCCCGCTTTGGCAATCAGCTGTCTCTATGTATCTTTTCTCGTGCGCTTGCATTTGCATTTACGCTTACGTATGGGTCATACGATAATAACTCACAGCTACCTCTTCTATGGCCTAAGACATCCACCGTGCCACTGATTCAGTGTCAGTCATCCACCTTCTCGACGAGTGTCAACACTTCGCTAGAATAAGATCCAACGTATTTGGTAGCAACACGCCTTCTAGGAATTTGAAGAGCTTCAACTCGGTCAGAGACCGTTGGCTTTTGTACGACACAACACAAGGTCAGAGAAAGAGACGTATAACCGGCGGAGCGGCACAGGGGTCTGTACTTGGCCCGGACCTCTGGAACGCCACGTATGACAGTCTGTTCCGCACGGAAATGCCGGAGAGCGCCTTCCTTGTCGCCTTCGCGGACGACGTGGCCGCCGTCATAACAGCAAGAAACGTCCAGCTAGCACAGCTCAAGCTAAAGCAGGTCATGCTTAACGTCAGTGGATGGATGAGCGATCACGGTCTGCAATTGGCTACAGCCAAAACGGAGATCGTGCTCCTCACCAGAAAACGGATCCCAACAATTATAAATATGATGGTCGGACCTCAACTCGTGACGACTTCTAGGTCTACAAAATACCTAGGGGTGAAGCTTGACA